TTAAAGTGATGAATGTAAGATAAGTTTTCATAATAATTTTGTGTGTGTTGGGACTGATTTGAGCTGTTTTAAAGGTTATTTTTGTGTTTTGGGAGGTTATGGTGATTCCGTTTCAGAGGGGGTGATTCCATGATTTCCGTCCATTTTCCGTTTTCATGGAAATGTGCAGTCTCTACTGCGGGCATTACGGACGTTATGGAAGTATTAGGCTATCGATAAGTGTGATAGGGGGAGAGAGGGGGAAGGGGAAGCGAGGGGGAGCGAAAGAGAGAGGGAGAGAAGGAGGCGCGATAAAAGGGGGCAAGAGAGAGCGAAAGAGAGAGGGAGAGAGAGACGGGAAGGGAAGAGAAAGAAAGAGAGGGTGGAGGGTGGAGTAAAGGGTAAAGAGTATGAGGGCGGAGAGGGAGGAAGTTATAGAGGAGAGAGAGAGAGGGGGAGAGCGAGAGTAGGTGAGGAAGATTGAAGGCGGAGGGAGAGAGCGCGAAAGAGAGGGGTATATCTCACATCAATGACCTTGAGGTGGGGGAGAGACCTTGAGGTTTTTAACCACCGTTCAAGGTCCTGTGTGCTGCAGTGGCTAGGTCGAGTGTAGTGTAGTGACCCGAGAAGAAGAAGAAGAAGAAGAATCAATACCTCACGTCTTCACATCGGCAACAAGCAACACGCGAGTTTTATTATTTATTTAAATATTAAATAATAATTAATCACTAATTAGTTACTCTATCTTACACGGATACGTTACAACGCCAGAGCGGCGGACGCTGAAGCAACGTTAATTACCAGCGTTCACAAAGCCCGTCACAAGACCGTCCGTCGACGTGCGCCTCCCCCCAGCGTGCCGCCACGTTCACCGCCATCTTCCCAGCGTGCTGCCACGTTCACCGCCATCTTCCCCGCGCGCTGCCACGTTTGCCGCCATTGTTTTTCCCCGCGCGCCGCCACGTTTGCCGCTATTGTTTTTCCCTCACGCTGCCGTGTTTCCCGCCATTGTTTTCCCTGTGCGCCGCCGCCATCGCCGCCATTGTTTTCCCCACGTGGTGTCGCGCAGCATTGTTGGCGATAATTAATACGCTGATTCAGGGGTAGAAATTAACTTTTAAACACAGGAGTCCAACGGACTCCCTACCCGCAAAAAGAGGGAGTCCGTAGCAAAATGATGGAGTCCGCAGTCTGAAGTTCGAAATTAAAGATATTAACAATAACACGTGCCTATTTTTGAAGATTCATGCGATGCACGTCTGCCAAATTTTCTTTGGACATTTGCTGAAAAAATACGGTTCCGCGAGGCCGTCCTCTGGAACGAACTAGTTAGTATAGTATGGCAGAATTTTCAGGGAGTCACACGGACTCCTGCATATGTCATATAAGGGAGTCCGTCAGTAAATCAAGGAGTATTTGACTCCGGACTCCCGTTAATTTCGCACCCTGCTGATTGAACCCCGCGGAGGTGCAATGCGGTGTGTTTGTGAGAGATTTATAATTACTGATGTGTGCTGGCTGCGATAAGAGAGCGAGGGTGTGATGAGAAGAGAGTGTGTGGTGACAAGGAAAGGTCCCGCATTCATCATGTGTGTTTTTTGTCACGTGTGGGAAAAGTATTGTTGTATCAGATTGTTTTTTAGGTGTTTTTTTCAGTCTAATGCGCATGGGCTTGTGAACGAGACTATATATATGTAACGAGCATCTGTGTTCATAAGTGTGCGTGTAGGTTGACCATGCGTGCGTGCCAGGGAAAAAATTACTTTTTTTTCACGGGAGCTCTTTTTCAAAAGTCTATGGAAAAAATATCTTTCATCAAAAATTTTAAGGGAGCTATTTTGAGCCTCACGGAAGCGATTTCGGAGGTTTGAAGAGCTCATCGCTATTCTCTCCCGTGTATTTTTTACTTTGGTGCGTGCGTGCGTGTTTGCGCATGCTATGAGTCTTCCTTACTCTCGTTTTCACTTTCACCCTTCTCCTCTTCCTCCTCCTCCTCCTCTTCCTGCTCCTTCTCATCACCTCCTTCTCTTCTTCCTCCTCCTCCTCCTCCTCCTCTTATCCCTCCTCCCCTCCTTCTATCCTTCTCTTTCTCCTCATCCTCATGGCTTCTCAATGCTTGCGGTTCGGGAACACGTGCTACTACAACTCGGTGTTGCAGGCGCTCTACTTCTGCACCTCATCCTCTCTCCTCCTCCCCCTCCTCTCCTCCTCCTTTCTCTCCTCTTTTTCCTTCTCCTCCTCTCCTCCTGATACCCCTCCTTCACCTTCTTCCTCTTATCCCTCCTCCCTCCTATCTCTCTTCCTCCTCTTCTTCCTCCTCCACCTCTTCTTCCTCCTCCTTTTCCTTCTCCTCCCCTCCTGATACCCCTCCTTTACCTTCTTCCTCTTATCCCTCCTCCCTCCGATCTCTCTTCTTCCTCTTCTTCCTCCTCCCCCTCTTCTCCCTCCTCCCCTCCTCCTCTCCCTCCTCCTCATGGCTTCTCATCCTCATAGCTTATCCTCCTCATCGCTTCCCAATGCTTGCAGTTCGGCAACACGTGCTACTGCAACTCGGTGCTGCAGGCGCTCTACTTCTGCAAGCCGTTCCGGGAGAAGGTGCTCGCCTACAAGGCGTCGCAGAAGCGCAACAAGGAGACACTGCTCACCTGCCTCGCCGACCTCTTCTACAGCATCGCGACGCAGAAGAAACGCGTCGGCACGCTCGCACCCAAGAAGTTCATCGCGCGGCTGCGCAAGGAGAACGGTAGGAAGGAGGAGGAGGAGAGGGGAGGAGGAGGTTGAGGAGGAGGGAGGAGGGGTGGATGAGGAGGAGGAGAAGGAGAAGGAGGTGGGGGAGGAGGAGGTGGTGGAGCAGGGAGGAGGAGGAGAGGGGAGGAGGAGGGAGNCTCTCTCTCTCTCTCTCTCTCTATATATATATATATATATATATATATATATATTGCTCGTACTCGTCGTACAGTGTGCGCTGCACGTGCCTGGTCCTTGGGGTTCCCCTACACACACACAACACCTTCTCCCCGATATCGCAAGCTGTTTACGTGTTTGACAATCACCTCCCTCCTCCCCCTGATGAATCGACGCTCGTTGCTGTAACCACCTTGCATGCATCTTCCTGCCTTGTAGCCAAGAGCAACTCTGTGGTTACAGAGTTACTCTCTCTTATAACCGCCTTGCATAACAGTTGTCCGTCTGGCCGCTGTTGAATCAATGCTTGCTCGTAACTNCCCCTGTTGAACCGACGCTCACTTCTAACCGCCTTGCATTAACCGTTGTCCGTCTGCCCCCTGTTGAATCGACGCTCACTTCTAACCGCCTTGCATTAACCGTTGTCCGTCTGCCCCTGTTGAATCGACGCTCACTTCTAACCGCCTTGCATTAACCGTTGTCCGTCTGCCCCCTGTTGAACCGACGCTCACTTCTAACCGCCTTGCATTAACCGTTGTCCGTCTGCCCCCCTGTTGAATCGACGCTCACTTCTAACCGCCTGCATTAAGCGTTGTCCGTTCTGCAGTGTTCACACCGGCACTTGCGCAGCCGAGAGCAAGCAGGACAAGAATGGCAAGGCGAAGACGAACATCTCCAACAACGTGGAGGCGGGCAGTAAGCCGGAGCCGACCTGGGTGCACGAGATCTTTCAAGGAACGCTCACCAACGAGACACGATGCCTCAACTGCGAACCGTATGTAGCACGCATGGGCCGAGGCGTACTCATCCCTCATGTAATGCGTCCTGTAATGCCATCCCGTTAGAGAAACAACCTATTGGAGAACGGCGACCTGTTCCATTCCGAGCAGCTGCTTGTAGACAGGACACCTTTGTAGAACGGCCACCTGTCCATTCACTGGTTGCAAATGAGCAGTAAGGATGAGGACGAGGATTTCTCGACTGTCACCATTAGCCTCCTCTTTCCCTCCTCCACTTACTTCTCCCCCTCTCCTCTACTACCCCTCTTCTCCTCCCTCCACCCCTCATCTCCGCCCTCGCCCCTCTCGCCTTCTACGTCCTCTATTCCCCACCTGCTCCTCCCTCCTCCTCTCTCTCTCTCTCTCTCTCTCTCTCTCTCTCTCTCTCTCTCTCTTCCTCCCCCCTCCACCTTCTTTCCCCCTCCTCTTCATGTTCTTGTGGTTGCAGGTGAGCAGTAAGAACGAGGATCTTCTCGACCTGTCCCTCTCCCTTCTACCTCCCCTCCCCTCCACTTCCCCCTCCTTCCCTCCTCCCTTCTTCTCCCTCTACCTCCCCCGTCCTCCTCCTCTTTCTCATCATATTCTCGTGGTTGCAGGTGAGCAGTAAGGACGAGAATTTTCTCGACTTGTTCCTCTCCCCCTCTCCCTATTCCCCTCCACCTAGTCTCCCTCTCCTTATCCTTCCCCTCCACCTACCGTCTCCCCCTCCTCCCCTCCTCCCCTCCTCCTCTCTACCTATTCCTCCT